TACGCATCAGAGACCAACTAGTACACATCATAGACCAACTAGTACACATCAGAGACTAATTATTACACATCATAGACTATCTAGTATGCATCAGAGACCAACTAGTACACATCATAGACCAACTAGTACACATCATAGACCAACTAGTACACATCAGAGATTAATTATTACACATCATAGACTATCTAGTACGCATCAGAGACCAACTAGTACACATCATAGACTAACTAGTACACATCATAGACTAACTAGTACACATCATAGACCAACTAGTCCACATCATATACCAACTAGTACACATCATAGACTAACTACTAACTAGTACACATCATAGACTAACTAGTACACGACTAACTAGTACACATCATAGACTAACTAGTACACATCATAGACTAGATATTACACATCATAGACTAACTAGTGTCCTTCAGAAGCAGATAGTGTCCTTCAGAGGCAGCTAGTGTGCATAAGAACGAACAGGAAGTAGTTGTGTGGATCAGAACCACTTCCTGTCTCTCTCTCATGTGTTTCGGGGGCACAGGCGGCTCAGCAGGATCTCAGAGTACACCTGGTTCACTGGTCCTCTCACGTGATAGGTCGAGGCTCTAGGCCATGCCTCCTTCTCTGGATGCTGGGCGTCTGATTGGAGCTCAGGTGTGGTTCTGGAGGCTGTGATGGGGTCTGAAGGCCTGGAGGACTTCTCCACCTGTAGGAGTTAACGAGGTACCTGTTAACGAGCTTCAGAATCATGTGGTGTCTCACCTGAGATCTGATTGGTTACCTGGTGGAAGTGGCAGGCGCAGCGGCCCTGCAGGAAGTCTCTGAAGCGACCCATGGTGATGCTGAAGGTGTCGATCGCCTCGTACCCATGATGCTTTGCTGCTGTGATGATGTCCTGGTTCTGCCTGTACAGGTCCTGGATCTCTCTCTGGAGGAGAGATAACTTTTATCTTATTTTTATTCATTAAATAAGTTCCAAATAAACGTCCCAAAACTTAAATGAATTAATAAATAAAATCCGTAAAATGCAAACAAAAAACAGAAATCCAAACTATAAAATAAAGAAAATAATATAATATGAATAAATATATAGTAAATATTAGATTTTAATTGTTGTTGGAAATATTATATTAAAAAAACCCATATTATGACATCACAGCTCAGCGGCCAATAGGTGGAGAGACAGGAAGTACAGAGGAACTTCACACATTGGACAGGTAATACAAACAGGAAACAGAAACGTACCAGACTGAGGGACCGGATCCCGTCCACAGGTAGGTGGAACCCCATCCCTAAAGATTTGACCACCACCAGGACGTCACTGAGAGACTCTCTGTGGTGGGAGGTGGGCAGGTGTTGAAGTATTAATTGATCTCTAATCGATGTCTAGGTGATGTGTAATTGATATGTTGTGCTGTTGCTCACCTGTCCAGCACCTCTCTGACGGTCCTTAGGTGATCCACCTTCAGCCACTGGACCCCCCCCACCACCAGCACCGTCTGCTTAGAGTTCACCAGAGGGCGCGACCTTCAGGAGACACAACACATGTCCTCGTTAACACTCCCCAGGTGTGTCCTCGATAACACTCCCCAGGTGTGTCCCCTCGTTAAAGTTGTTAATACGAAAGCCCCTGTCACACTGTCCCGAAATTGCCATTGTTCAAATTCAGCTCTGATCGTAACAACATCGGGCCATTCGTGAGGGCATCTTAAGCCATCGTATGACCACCGGTGGAGTTTCTCAGGCTCCGGCAGCAACTTCGGGAGCGGTGGCAACATCTTTGGCATCACAAAGCATTGCCGAAGGACCTTGTGAAGGTTCATTTTTTTGTGTTGACTTCGTGTGTCCATTTTGCCCTTCGTAAGGCATTCGTGAGGGCCTCTTAAGCCATCGTATGACCGCCGGTGGAGTTTATCAGGCTCCGGCAGCAACTTCGGGAGCGGTGGCAAAATCTTTGGCATGCCAAAGATGGCTTAAGATTCCCTCACGAATGTCCCGATGTTGTTACGATCAAAGCCGAATTTGAACATTTCCTTTATCGTGTGTCCATCGGGTTGTTTTATTGCACAACAAAATCATGTAAACATATTATGTAAATAACCCAATTTGTGTTCTGTGAAACTAAAAAGGATATAATATATTATTTTGAAGGCGAGTTGACATGAAGTTGTTGTTGCTATGGAAACAACATGACGGAGAAAACTTAATATCTTCTACATATAAAGACGGAGAAAATAAAGAACAAAGTCTGAACATATCAGAACAGTATCAAAATACTTTAACATAATTGTTTGTGTTACTTTCGTAGTAGTTGTATGTCTTAAATGTAATGTAAATGTTGCCTTCGTGTGGTTCGGGGCCATCTTCGTGCGAAATTCACAATTCCATATTCGTGTGTCCATCGGGTGTCAATTTCGGGACAGTGTGACAGGGGCTTAAAGGTGTGTCCCCTCCCCAGGTGTGTCCCCGCCCCTCACCTGTGTATGAGCTGCAGCAGGCTCTGTCTGAAGGTGGGTCTCTGGTCCTTGTCCTCCCAGAAGCGGGGGTAGTAAGAGTAGCTGACGAGGGTCCGGTCCTGGTTCAGGTACTCATATACCTGCAGGTCGTGGCTTCGCCCCCACACCTGCAGGCTGGAGTTCACCCGCTCCAACAGGAAGTACATAATGCCGCGGTTAGTGGAGTCCCCGATGAACAGCACCTGAGGGGGGGTGGGAGGGCAGGTGAGACAGGTGAGACAGGTGAGACAGGGGAAACAGGTGAGACAGGGGAAACAGGTGAGACAGGTGAGAGACAAGTGAGACAGGGGGACAGGTGAGAGAAGTGAGACAGGTGAGAGACAGGTGAGACAGGGGGACAGGTGAGACAGGGGGACAGGTGAGACAGGAGAGACAGGTGAGAGAGGTGAGACAGGGGGACAGGTGAGACAGGTGTGGATCAGCTGGTCTCACCTTCCTGTCCGTCAGACAGGCCTGCAGCAGGGGGGGGGAGACCTGCGGGTGGTAACAGCCGTCTGGTTGCCAGGTAACCTCCCTCCAATCACACGTCCTGTTGTCAGAGCAGGTGAGACACGGCACCACCCACACACCTGAGACAGGTACAACAGGTGAGAGACAGAGATAGGTGAGAGACAGAGACAGGTGAGAACCAGAGACAGGTGACAAACAGAGACAAGTAAGGCAGGTGAGACAGGTAAACCCCCCCCTCACCTGGATGGTGTCCTGAACTGCAGATGAGGGGGGGGCTGAGCGTCCTGATGAAGGGCTGCAGACCACAGGGGAGACCAGGGTGCACCACCAGACCACAGTCCTGAGAGACAGACAGGTGAGAGACAGGCAGGTGAGAGACAGGCAGGTGAGAGACAGACAGGTGAGAGAGAGACAGGTGTGAGAGAGAGACAGGAGAGAGACAGACAGGTGTGAGAGAGACAGGAGAGAGACAGACAGGTAGAGACAGACATGTGAGAGACAGACAGGTGAGAGACAGACAGAGTTGAGAGACAGACAGGTGAGAGACAGACTGGTGAGAGAGAGACAGGTGAGAGAGAGACAGGTGTGAGAGAGAGACAGGAGAGAGACAGACAGGTGTGAGAGACAGACAGGTGAGAGACAGACAGGTGAGAGACAGACAGACAGTTGAGAGACAGACAGGTGAGAGACAGACTGGTGAGAGAGAGACAGGTGAGAGAGAGACAGGTGTGAGAGAGAGACAGGAGAGAGACAGACAGGTGTGAGAGAGACAGGAGAGAGACAGACAGGTGTGAGAGAGAGACAGGAGAGAGACAGACAGGTGAGAGACAGACAGGTGAGAGACAGACAGGTGAGAGAGAGACAGGTGAGAGACAGACAGTGTGAGAGACAGACAGGTTGAGAGACAGACAGGTGAGAGACAGACAGGTGAGAGACAGACAGGTGAGAGAGAGACAGGTGTGAGAGAGAGACAGGAGAGAGACAGACAGGTGTGAGAGAGACAGGAGAGAGACAGACAGGTAGAGACAGACATGTGAGAGACAGACAGGTGAGAGACAGACAGACAGTTGAGAGACAGACAGGTGAGAGACAGACTGGTGAGAGAGAGACAGGTGAGAGACAGACAGGTGTGAGAGAGAGACAGGAGAGAGACAGACAGGTGAGAGAAAGACAGGTAGAGACAGACATGTGAGAGACAGACAGGTGAGAGACAGACAGGTGAGAGACAGACAGGTGAGAGACAGACAGACAGTTGAGAGACAGACAGGTGAGAGACAGACTGGTGAGAGAGAGACAGGTGAGAGAGAGACAGGTGTGAGAGAGAGACAGGAGAGAGACAGACAGGTGTGAGAGAGACAGGAGAGAGACAGACAGGTGAGAGACAGACAGACAGTTGAGAGAGACAGACTGGTGAGAGAGAGACAGGTGAGAGAGAGACAGGTGTGAGAGAGAGACAGGAGA